TTCGAGTCCGGCTGCCGCGCAGTCCACTCGCGAATTTATCTTCGTACAGGTGGGTTAGCGCATGCGCGCATTGTGTTACCTCAGCCTCCTTACCTACCTCTAGGAATTACCTGTATTATGATTAGCATAATCACTCTATATACTGCCATTTTCTGCATTACATCTTAGTGATGTAAGATAGTTCTAAGTTATGTGCCGAAAGGCAGTAAACATGTTGATCTACGAGCTGCCCCTGGCTATAATTATAACTACTCACAAATATCAAGAAACAGATGTTGACTGGCAGTCCTAGTAACTAAGAGCTAATCGCTTGGCTACTCTGTAGAGACTTGAAAATAACACCTACACTCACACCAACAGTGAAAGTTCATAGCTACCCACACGTCCTCATAAAGTCCCCAGGACCAGTGAGAGACAATATGAGCCTAGTATTGACATTTCTTTCTAGAGGTGGGCCCCCAATACTTCGGAGGTTTTACTGTAATGATGAGCATTACGTACAACAAACAATTATGATGCACATAATTTATAATATACACAGGTTTGCAATTGTCATATCGGCTTGTACACTAATGTTGTGATATACTTCTGCTGGAACCGATGAGTAGCTGCCAGTACTAACACATTATCCTGGTACGAGATATCACAGCATATACATTATACCATTGAAACAGTTGTATATTGCTATACCTTGATGGACAGTGCGTAGAGATGATTCAAAATGACATGGTTTGGTTCAACAAGCAGATTAGGATCCTCCTGCAAAGAAAATGACCCCCATCGTCACCCATCATCATGGACTGACACAATGGCAACCTCTGTAAAAGTACCATCAAAACAATGGACACATTTCTATTGGGTTTGCTCCATACAACTACATATAGGTTAGATGCGGAGCCGAGGTGACTACGCGTGGTAGAGTGCCGAGGGCTCCCGAGCTGTCGGCGTCCCGAGCGCAGCGAGGGCGCTACTAGGGAGCCCGAGGCACTCTACCACGCGTAGTTACCGTGGCGACGCGTCTAACCAGTTTAGATCCATTCAAACTGTTTGCGAAGATATGGCAGCGCCAGGCGAACTGTTACTATCTTGTCTAGACCAGGAAGACTCCGAGAAGGAACTCGACATACTCATGCTCGCCGCGAGCCAATCCTCGAACGCTCTGGAAAGATACGTGCGCGTAGAGTGGGCGGAGCCCTTTTCCGCGAAGCGCGGCGGACGACGAGGGAATGCTGTAGCTTAAGCCTACCGTTTCTGGCTCGCCGCTGGTAGCTGAAACCTCGCTCGAGTCTCTTACCTATCACGTCTTCACGCTCGCTCCCCAATAGATCCCGTCGTCCGGGGCAGCGGGATCTACGGAAAATAGACCCCGCGTTTGGACCAATGAAATTGCTCGATTTCAAATCACCGGGATCTAAATATAGGTTAGATGCGGAGCCGAGGTGACTACGCGTGGTAGAGTGCCGAGGGCTCCCGAGCTGTCGGCGTCCCGAGCGCAGCGAGGGCGCTACTAGGGAGCCCGAGGCACTCTACAACGCGTAGTTACCGTGGCGACGCGTCTAACCGGTTTAGATCCATTCAAACTGTTTGCGAAGATATGGGCACGCCAGGCGAGCTGTTCAGCGACGAGATACTATCTTGTCTAGACGAGGAAGACTCCGAGAAGGAACTCGACATACTCACGCTCGCCGCGAACCAATCCTCGAACGCTCTGCAGATACGTGCGCGTAGAGTGGGCGGAGCCCTTTTCCAATGAGGGCGTTTTCCAGCGAGGGCGCTACCCACATGCCCCGAGGGTTGCAATGTAGCGTAGACAACCGAGCTTCCGCGTCTAACCGGTTTAGACCGGAGTATCTGATTGGTGTTTGCTCGTTCAAATAGGTAGCAACAAGCTAGCAACGCTGCGCTCATTCCTCATTCCTTACCTTCGGATGGAACAAGACGCTTTTTTCCCCCGCCCCCCGTAAAAATCGTTTACGTCATCATAAAACGCCCTCATTGGAAAAGGGCTCCGCGGTAGCTGAAACCTCGCTCGAGTCTCTTACCTATCACGTCTTCACGCTCGCTCCCCAATAGATCCCGTCGTCCGGGGCAGCGGGATCTACGGAAAATAGACCCCGCGTTTGGACCAATGAAATTGCTCGATTTCAAATCACCGGGATCTTAGACGCGGAAGCGAGGTGTCTACGCTACATTGCAACCCGAGGGGCTGTGGAATGTTGGCGTCCCGAGCGCAGCGAGGGCGCTACCCACATGCCCCGAGGGTTGCAATGTAGCGTAGACAACCGAGCTTCCGCGTCTAACCGGTTTAGACCGGAGTATCTGATTGGTGTTTGCTCGTTCAAATAGGTAGCAACAAGCTAGCAACGCTGCGCTCATTCCTCATTCCTTACCTTCGGATGGAACAAGACGCTTTTTTCCCCCGCCCCCCGTAAAAATCGTTTACGTCATCATAAAACGCCCTCATTGGTGGTGCGCGTTTGAAAGGGTTAGCAACGCAAGGCAACGGCCGGCCCAATGTGTTTGTGTAGCTGAAAAAGCCGACGCTTTTTTCGTGGAATATTGACGTGATTTCTGACTTTCGCGAGCTCCGGAGACTGTCCACAGACTTCTTGCAGGTGCACTACGCATTTTAAAAGAGCTACTTTGCCAGTCGCGCCTTCTACGCTTACATATACCGAACGCGGAATCGGCGCGGAATCGGCCGGTTTGCGCAGATAACGACTTTTGAGAATAGCCATTTTGTACGGGGAGTTTGCTGTAGACCACCTGCAAACGCCATTAGACACCTGAAACGAGGTGTCTATGAAAAATAAACCCCCCCGCAATTCTGTAATCTGATTGGTCAATTGCGCGTGACTGCGGTCTAACTCTGAATAAAAGGATGTCCCCAAGGTGACCCTTACTGCATTAAAATGCTATCAGCTTCATCTCATCTCTTTCTCTACTCTGACTGTGTCTCACTATTCTCAATGAAACATGCATGAATAAAGATTGCATAATGAGCTAGTCAGATGTGGTTGGCAACACATCAGGGCTACATAACGATCTCTAATGGTGGATCTTAGCTGTGGTTCTAAAACTGGTTCCATACTTTAGCTAATAGTACAGTTGGTATATGTGGTATACATAAGTCCAGCAGCTCACAATTATAGAGGTTTTGTTCAGCAAGCTGAAATGGACCAGTGCCTCCGAAAAGTATATTTATGGGGCGGTTAGTGGCTCTATGAGATTGTACTGGTGCCCACCCCGGCACATAGCTATACCAGAGAGGGAGGCTCCTGGTTGAGGACTGTCTGCTGGAGGAGAGGGGGGAGATGAGGAGGGAGACCAGAGGTGGCACTGCGAGGTGGCATGATCAGGTCATAGGATCCCTGCGGACTGGAACCACCTGTACATACCCCACCAGGAGTAGTAAAAACTCCAGTTGTAAGGGAGACCTTGGTACTTTGAAAGGGTCCTTTATTCAGAGGTTTGGAGGTACTAGTATGGGGCAAAACTGTGTGTCCCTTATGAGAGGTGTCCTTTAGTCAGAGGGTCCTTTTTCATCTATGATCCATCGTCATTGAGGATCCGCAAAATATCCCCTGATTAAAGGACACCCATCTATACATAACACTAGGTTCTGTCCTATACTATACCTCCAAGTAAGGTGCACTACTGAATAAAGACCCTTTCGATGTCCCGAAGGTGTGCTGCCTTACTCAGCGGCTTGTGCAGAATAACCCTGCCAAAGTGATTGATTAATGTAACTATGTGCTCGGCTTAAAGTGAGTAACATGATGAGCTGCCTAAATGCAGCCAAGGTGATTGGTTTGCAGTGCATGCCAAGTTCCAAGATCCCACACCTTTTTCGGGTGAAGTCAATTCCTGTGTCTCAAAGTATACGTCGAAATCTCTCTTTGTCACTGTGACCACATTGTTGAAGGTACCCAGCCCATTATCTGAGCACTCCTGGAAAAAAGTGCAAAAATGGTATATATAGGCATCCTTGATTCGCTATTTAGCTAGCTACCTCCTTTGGGTCATGGAGCCACTGGCCATCTACAAAGAACTTGTACTCATGCCGTCCTTCAGGCAGGTCAACAATGGCAGTAAAGTCACCATGACTACAGAACAAACATCCTTCCGTTTTAATCAAGATATCATTCAATCAACTACAGTGGAACCTCCGATAAGGGACCCTCCGAGATAGGGACAACCTCTCTACAAGGGACACTTGTTTCAATCCCATGCTAAATTGCTAATACTTTAGTGTATTATTTGACCACCAACATAAGGACGACCTCTCTACAAGGGACAGAGTCGTTGGTCCCATAGTGTCCCTTGTTAAGAGGTTCCACTGTATTACTATTTCATACTTTGACCATCAGTGTCATCTGTCCTTTTATTGGCGAGCGGGAGCGAGTGGTCCAAATGAATTTTTTATAAATTTATTTATAATATACAACCATATGTCGTCCAACTTCATATTATAGGTTTGATTTACACAAACTGTGCCACATTTTTCTATGGTATACTGTAGTGTGTATATACCTGTTGGTCATGGGTATCTTGGTCTCCCAGCTATTAAAGTTGCCACAGATGTAGACTTCATTCCCACCACTGTCCCACCGGAACACTATTGGGATGGACCGATGAGCTGCTGCTGGAGAGAGAGGAAGGGGGAGGGAGGGATGGGTGAGGAAGGAAGGAAGGGGAGAAGGAGGGAAGGGGGAGAGAGAGAGAAAAGTGAGAAGGGGAAGTCTGAAGTGGGCAGGGAAAGGCAAAAATTTGGCAAAAGAGGTTGTCCCACTCTAGGTTTCTATTTCACTCCTGTAGCTAGTAAGAACCTTGTTCTTTGTCGTCCTCCTGAAGGCCGGCCAGTATGTTGAGAGCCTCTATGCCAGTCTTCATCACATCAGCAGCGTTAGGTATTGAATAGCCAGGAGCTGACGAGGAGAAGCACCCCAGGGGGTGAACAACATGAAGTTTAGCTACGTAGGTGTGGACTCACTCTCAATGGGAGAGCCAAACACGGGTTCCTGGACTTCAATGTCGTCCCTGCTCTCTGGTACGTGGGCTACCGTGACTCCCTGGCCTCCTTCTAGCTCGTCTGCCGACTTAGTGCCGCGGGGTGCCGTTTGCCCCATTGCTAGCTCTGTCTACCTGCTTTTTACCCAGTGTTTACCAATGACCCTTGGACCCAGATCTGCGCAGTCAGCACACTTGAGCAGTGATTCGTCACCTGCTGGCCTCAGCAGCGTTGAAAATCCGACAATGGCTGCTGTAGTGCCGTTTCTCTTCCTGGTATCGCTCTCTCGTCTCTTCTCGAGCTCCACAGCTTCTCTGCCCACCCGCGAAGAATACATCGTCTATCGCGAGCTCGAAGACCAGCTCCTGACGGGGGAAGACGCCTCCTTCAAGCTCTACCAGCTCTCTGACACCTTCTACCCGAAAGTCGGGCCGCCTCCTATCTGCGTGCCCATAACCTACACCCTCACCTGCCCCAACGAGACCATCATAGACAACTGCACTAGCGACCCGATACCCTGCGACGACTCTGACGGATTCAAGGCATCGTATCTCTGGTCTCAGTACGACTTGAGCACGGCCATCGGGCCGGTCCTCCTCTCCTACGTGTGGAGCGGCATCAGGCTGGTTGGGTTTGCCTGGGAGGAGTCGTGCAACCTGGACAACGAGTTGGAGTTTGCCCTGGACATTGCCAACATCTCCTGCAGGAATGGGGGGGTGATAAAGGAGGCGCTCAAGGCACTGACTGCAGTGGTAAGGCGAGCGTAGGTATATACTCCACACTACAGCAGTTATCAAATTGCTTGAGCAGCAAAACTTCAGAGAATGTTGTAAGGCACTGTACTATACAGCTACAGCTTGTGAAATTCCTCCTATAATATATACCTGAATGATTTCGTGCACAAAGCTATTGTAGCATGCATGATTCTGTGATTTGCAGACTCCCGCTCACTCTGTTCCTTCTCTCATCCTCTCCTTCAAACACAGGCCAAGGCGTACGCCAAGAACCAGGGCCGCGGTGGATCGCTGGTGGGACACTCCGAGACAAAGGGCTATGCAGTGGAGTGGGACCATAGCGACAGAGAGGCCGACATTTTCCACGCAAGCCGCTACACCCTCGTCCTCATGGTGGTGGTTCTCAACCTCTTCATCTTCCTCATAGCGTCCGCCATGACCAACTACACCTACGACGCAGTGTACGAGAGCATTGTGCACAAGAGGAACCCAAACTACCCCATCTTCTGGTCGTTTGTGGTGCTCACATTTGTGTGGAACGTGGGGCCATCGTGGCTCGTGCTCTCCAGGCAAAGCAACCTGGTGACCTATTCCTTGCCTTTTATGATTCCACTGGAGCTACTGGTGGCTATTCTCATCAAGAAAAAGTCAGATTTTCCCGTCCCTCTCCTCTCGTCTCGGGGCTGTTCGAAACACGTCGGCTACTTTTTCAGCTTCGATAGGACAATCGTGTTGGCCTGCTCATACTGTGTGATATCGCACGCGGGCCAGACACTGGCCATATGGACCATCCTAGTATTCCTCACCTTCCTATCCTACTACCTGGCAGCCATCATCATAGCGTTCTACCTCTACCCGACACAAGTACTCGTGAAAGTGGTCTTCCTCAAGGCGGTCGCCGTGTGCGTTGTTCTAAACGTAGCCCTCCTCTTTTCAAACAGCAAGTTCAAGTGTGGCTGCACGTGGAAGTCTTTCAAGGTCGACTTGGGCTATTTCGTCAGGGTTCTTGCCATTGCAGCGTTCCTCCCAGTCTTTGGTTTCCTAGCCTTCATCGTTGGCGGGATCCTCTTCACGGGGTCCCAGCAGACCTCGGGTCTACAGAGCGTCCTAACGCTCCTCCCTTCTCTCGTCCTCGTGTTTGCGGCGTGGTTCACAAAGGGTAGTCTCTTCCCGGCTGGGACAGACGAGACGGACTTGGAGTCAGAGGTCATCAACGAACTGGAGAGTGGAGGAGGAGGAGGAGGAGGGAGAGGAGGAGGAGGAGGAGGAGGAGGAGGAGGAGGTAACAGCAATCCGCACACACACTCCGACACAACTTCGCCAACAAAGACGAAATATTCCTCGACTGGGATAACACCGAGAAAATCGTCACCGTACAGCTCGGTCGGTCGACGCTCCGCCACTCCAGACACAGGCCAGGGAGGAGGGGAAGATCGGGAGGCAAATGGAGGCAAAAAACCGTTGCTACACTAATTTTCAAATATTTTGTGTGTTTTTAACTATTTCTCATTTACAAAAAGGAGGAGGTGCTGATAAAAATCAGAGGTAGTGTTGTAGTAGGGTCGGCTACGAGTAGAGGTCAAAGTCTATCCGTTTGGAAGAGTAGAACGCTGCATCTGGGACGTTGGCCTTGCGCACCCACACACCATCAGGGAAATAACTGACAGCACAGAAAGAGGAGGGGGGATAAAGGAAGAGAGATAGTCCATTAAAAGCCATAATTATATAGCTCCTGAATAGTTATAACTCTGAACTCTGAACTACGAGTTAGTCAGCAGAGATAATAGGTCTGTTAAAGACAGCCCTTAAAGGGAACTTGGCAGTATAAGGGCTAAATTCGGAATGTTCCTACATGTATAAACGGAAACGTTGTATTCTAGCACTGCACCCCATCCACCTTTAGTAACATTTCTAAATTTAGCCCTTATCATTACACTGCCACATCCTGAGAAGGGCCACTGCATTAAGAATCAAGATTTGTGCTACGGTCGCCAAACACTGACTGACGATGCCAGACTAGTTAGTGTCACAGTATATATATAGGTATATAACCGGCTCACTTGTTCCCGGCCCACTCTGACATCTGTGTGCTGGTGAAAGGACCGTGTATCTTGGCCTCCTCCACGTTCTCCCACTTGTACTCCCACATCACACAGTCCACACCTCCCCCACCTGACCCAGGAGGAGGGACAGAGGAGGAGGAGGAGGAGGAGGAGGGTGGGGCATCTGAGAACATGTCCACCGGCTCTGTGAATAGTACAACGTGTGTGAATACATACCCATTTTGCATCAAGGGAAAATCATTCTGTTTTGTTACATTTTTTTCCAAGCAAAACGGATTTTCGTTGCCTTATATTCATTCTTGATTGCAGATTGCATGCACCCAGGATAGCCCTAATGAAACAGACGCTACACGGTAGTGCGAAAGTGTGTGTTTTGTCAGGTTAGCATCATACAGCACGCATACACACTAATGGGACATACACACCCTAAAGCTAATGGGAAAGTAAACAATATCACGAATCACACAAGACGAGGTGTACACATCGGCAACTTAGTGCTGAAGGAATGGGAATGTATAGTAGTCAACTTCTTTATGGAGTATATACCTCTTGCCTTTTCTTCTCTCTCGACATAGTACTTCATCTTCTCGTACGTGTCACTATACACAGCTGAGCATTCAGTAGTTCAGGATCGACCAAGAACAGAGAGATACACAACACACCACAATTACTAGAGGAATGCAACGCATCGTTGGCGAGCGAGCGCGAGCAGTTCAATATTTCGCACGTGTGTTTTGCGCGTATTTAGAATCACGTAGAACATTACGGTATGTGTCATGCCCGACAGAGCTGTCACGCATAAAAATAGAAATAGTAAATATAGAAAAATCCCGCATTGCAACGACTAGGTATATAGGCTTGCTTTGCTTTGCTAATTACAATCACTCTGGTTGAGATAGAGAGAGAGAGAGAGTGGATACAGTAGTCTCCAGTGGCCACCAGCTGATCTGCAAGACCAGTCAGTCTCTCCATTGCCTCTTTAGACACACCTTCACCCTCCTATATACACAATAGACCAATAATGTCAAATCTCTGCAAAAGATGTTGGGTTTTTTAGCATGTATCAACAACTTGGTAGCGAGGTAGAAAGGCAAGGCCAAGGCAAACGAGTCAACTACACCCAGGACAACTCTTTCTTTTCACAGAAAATAAGAAGTGTTGCCCTGGGTGGGATTCGGACCCACAGACACTCTGCAGTCTAGGCGAGCACTCGATCTGCCAGCTGAGCTACCAGGACAACTCAGCTGGTAGGGGTTCGAATCTACAACACAACACAATGCATACAAACACTCTAATATTCACAGAGTTACGTAAGATCTCTTTGGGTTATGATAATTATGTTGGTGTTTTAAGTTCATTTTACGCCTGTATGCACACTACACTGTATATACCCACACAATAACAGAGATAGACCAGTTAAGAAAAAATGTTGGTGTTTTAGCATACATACACACTACCTACGCAAAAGACCGGTTACAATCTTTTTCATAAGGCTCATTTTAAGCATGCATACACACCACCTACGTACCTACCCGGTTGAGATGTACATACACTACAAAATTCTAAGGATCATTCTAAGAGCACCTACGTAAGTACACATTATAATTATTTTCACTATTTCACTAGATAACCTTGTGAAAGACATCAGACCAACTTATTTCTCGTTAAACACTAGAGCGACAGGTTGTAGCTAGGACCTGTGATTTAGTGCTGCTCTGGTCCTGGCCAGCTTTCTTCTTCTTCTTCTTCCATTTCTCACTGGCCGGCGTGCTCTTCCCCCCACCAAGTCTGCGAACAGCCTATGACAAGAGAGAGAGAGGGAGGGAGAGAAATTACCTTGTTACTTGATTAGTTTTGAGTCATGAAATAATACGCTGTTGGTCACTTAATGCATAGTCCGCCATAAGAAGAACAGGTTACGAGCTAACAACAATGAAAAATGCCGACCAGCAATTTTCCTAACTCAAAACTGTAAATGAACCAACAGAAAATTCAGTCGCATAAAGTGTGCATAAAAATGCATCTACAAAATAGTCATCGCCCACAAAATTTCAGGGCAAATTGCTCTCAAATCCGTAAGGTTTTCCCCAGGATCCCTACCATTATGACGCTATCATTATGGTACAAACATCTCAAACAGCCCAGTTCTGCATGTTTCAATAACAAGGTAGAAAGGTATTTTGGCAAACAAGTCAACTACACCCAGGACGGCTCTTTTTATCCAAAGAAAAAAGAGCTGCCCTAGGTGGGATTCGAACCCAGGACACTCTGCAGTCTATAGGCGAGCACTCTACCAACTGAGCATGAACATAGCTCACAAGACAGAAATAGTAACACTGCAAGACGATCTCTTAATATTTTGCACTAATCAAAACACTCAATTTAGGACATTGTTTGAGGCAACAAAGAAATTGTTAGCAGATGCGTCCATGTGAGAAATTTTATTGCCGACTACAACTGTCCTTTAAACAGTTGGACCTACAGTTCACCTCCACACTACCATATTTTGATTAAGAGGTAATTACTCAGGGTCTGCCAGCAATTTGAAGTCCGTACTAGCCATGGCACCCGTCCAACATCCATGCCCCAGTTACCTTGGTGACGGTCTCGCCGGGCTGCAGCAATTCCAGAATACTCTTGTACACCAGTAGCTTGTCCACTTGTGCTTCCGTCACGGCCATTGCTTCCTCTGCCACCTCCCCTCTCTTCTTCTTCCCCTCCTCCCACTCCCTCTCCTCTTCAATCTGTCACAAAAACATGTGTGAGTCACAGAACTTCCACAGCTACAGAGATTGGGGAGACATCTTCCCAGAGTTAAAGAAAATGTTGCGGCACTGTATAAAGGCTAAATTTAGAAACTGTTACTGCAAATGGAAGCTTGTACTTGCATTCTTGCACTGGGGCCTATTGTTTAGACCTCAAGTATTGCCTAACCCTTCCGGGTGAGGAGGGGTATCAATTGAGGGAGGAAACTTTAGGGATTTGGCGACAAGCACGTCCATAGAAAACAATCGTCCCTCTTTATATAATGTCCCTGCCCATAGTATTTCACAAATTTCTCCCCTAAAGATCAATCATACTACTATCATCAACATCAATGAGGTCAAAGCAAGAAAGGCACACTCATGCATACTACAGGAGTACAGTGGAACCTCCGATAAGGGATCCTCCGAGATAGGGACGACTTCTCTACAAGGGACACTTGTTTCAACCCCATGCTAATACTGTATTATTTGACCTGGGACGACCTCTCTACAACAGACCAAATCGTTGGCCACATAGTGACCCCTTGTTTGGAGGTTCCACTGTAGTTACTACACCTGTTGTACTAAGGCCGACTTCACACCTTGTTCCAGTCCACACCTTCCAGCCATGTGTCCTGGACGTCTTCGTTGTCTTTGAGGTAGTAGTTGCCATGGGCATCGAAATACCTGCAGGCAGTGTGTGTGTGTGTGTCAGTTTATCAGTTTATATCCATATGGACCGTGTGATGCCAAGAGAGAAAAAAGAGGCGGAGCTCAGGACAGCTAGATGGAGATCAGTCTCTGGTGGTCCACCGACCACTTTGGGGGGAGGAGAAAGCTCTGAGGAACAGACTCTACATATATACAGTAGGTGGAGACTTAAGAGTCCCTATATCACCCACCAGATCCATGATCTACTCTCGGTCTTCGAAAGGTGGATGTTTTTTTTGCACTTTTCTTGCACGTAACATGAGAATATCTAACCCTTACAGCATGAGCATGGTACATGTGCCATTTTTCAAGGTGCATGTGATAGTGTGTGTGTCTGTAAGAGTTGTCCACTAATGACACTTTTGTAATGCCCTTGCATTGCTCGGAAACATGACCAATTCCCAGTACAGACCACACGTGCCTTGCAAGGATATCCAATTTACAAAAGCAAATTATCGCAAATAACAGACATCCAACGCTTCTCTCCAATCTCATGCCAAACACCGGTTAATTGGAGGACTGGAGCGAGCCAACCAAGTCATTTGTTTGGCATTATTCTCCGTACACATTATACGAGTGCAGTCCACACCGTAATGTTTAACGTATGAATTACAGGAAAAAATTCGAAACCATCTAAGCTGCAGAGCACTCCATGTTCACGGGCCGGGGGGCATTAGGTCCCCTCCCCAAGAGAACCTAAAACGAGAGGCTCGTGTCTCTCTGCCTCCCATGCTCAATGTTCTAGTGTCACACGTCGGCATCCACTCACCATGCGTGTGTTACTGGCAATATCGCATGGAACAAGTTTAGCTTCTGTATTCTGTATCATACTTCCTAACTGCATTTGTAGGCTGATTCGCCTACGTACTATATATATATACACTTGTTTGGACTATATAGCCACTTGTGCAAAAACCTCTGCCTTGTCCACAAGCAAGAGCCTTCCTTCGACTGTAATTTGCCGAACAAACCTCAACTCGGGGTTTATGTTCGATAAAATAAGAGGTCCTTTGTTTGTGCACAACCTCGAGGTGTATATACAGGTATATACACAAGGCAGTATTTCCCAAAAGTATTTTTTCAAAGGCAGGACAAACAATGGATAACCTAATCTTACCCTTCCTCCATCTCCTCATTCAAGTTGAACGGCGTCACCTGAATTCCATCATCAAACCTCTGTGAGTAAACAAAGGACTCACTCTGGTGCATATATACACCCATGAAAAGTTGCTGAGACAAAGCTGCATGCAACTTCAAATGTACGGATATGATAGAACATTCAATGAAGTTGCTGGAAACAGAAGGCTTTTGCAACATCATGGTGCGTGGACCCATCATACCAAGTTGCATGGAACTTTGGCTCACCAAAGTTGCACCGTGTATCGTGGCCTTAGAAGTATACACACTAGAGTAGGAGGTAAAGGAGCAAAAATCAGTGACCTGGGAGGGTCAATATCAGATTGGGTGTGCAACCTACGATGGTGGTGTCTTCCTGAGCTGATAGGTCTTCGTCTCCCAGGCGAGAGTCTTTCACCTCGTCCTTCTCGTCCTCCTCGTCACTGTCCAGGGAATGCTTCAGCTTGAACCGCGTCTCTTTCATCGGAAGGAGAAAGTAGCGCGAGTGCGGGGAGAATTCTAAACGGAGCGCACTCACTTCTCGCGGCCTTGTCTCCGCCACTCGCAGCCTCCTCTTCGCCTTCTTCTGCGCCATCTTCGCGTCGCCTCTTGTCATCTTCCACCTGCACCTCGTCCGCAAACGCTACCTTCCTTACTCGTTTGGACATGAGCTCTGTTTTTGGCGAGCCCCTTTCACGCTGCAGAGAAAGTTAACGAACAGGGACCACCCCGTTGACACGCCCCTCACACACAATCGAGCCCCCGCACAAGAAAATGGTGTCTGCCTGATTGTTTGCAGCCGGAGGTTGCTGTCAACAAAGCTAATCGATCGGGAGCTGTGTTCGCGAGGGCAGGACTGGCGGACAGCGACGCCCGAGAGTCACTTCGCGGCACCGGATCACTTTCCCGACGCTCCGCGAGGCCCGCTGCTACTGCCGCTCTACGAAGCCGCTCAATCCCACACCAGCCAGTTGCCGTTTCAGAAGAAAGCTCCACGCTGCGTCCCCGCTGCTTCCGAAGCCGAGACATCGTTTGCCGTTTCTCCAGCGGGTATATACATACATGTGCAGACCACAAAGACCAACACGCACGCTTCGGCCTCTGCAAGCAAACAGCTTGTTTGGATTGCGATTGCGAACTAGCCTGCAAACAAGCTTACTGTTGTACTTACTTGTTTAGCTAGCTGGTCAGCCTGTGTGTGCGTCACAATTGAGCACATATGCTCGTTTGCCTCGTAGTAAATAATATACACCGTACTTTGAAGGCGGAAGGGCCTACTTAGCTATATAGCTATTTCTGCAGCTAAAGTGCATGTGTTATGGCTTCCAAGTCAGTAATTTCCCCCCATTACACCTGTGCAGGGCTCTGCCTGATCTCTTCAATCTAAAGGGATTGAAATGGCCCAGTCTGTTATCACCCAAGTCTCGAAGGAGAGTGACTCATATGCACCGTGCCCTTTACCTGAGAAAGGTGAGCCTTAGAGGGGTAAAGTGCTATATACTCTAGGAAGGTCCAACGCTGAATGCTGCAAACACATGGAACTTTCCTACCCCTTTACTGGTACCATGCATCCCTCCAACAATAGTTACATACTCAGCAAACACCTGTTTACACCTCATTTCGAGTGTGGTGCTCAATGACATGTTTAGGGCAGACCAGACCGAGCTGTACAGGGGCTTCTGAGAGCTTCTGAGAACGTCCCTTACAGTGGGGAAGTCTTAGAACCTACCTCACTGTAGTAGCTTCCAGAGTAGATATCACTCTTAGATTTTTTTTTCCTATGCTGCATACATGTCCTTATACTGACAAGAGTTGCCCCTGTCAATTAGAGGTGTAATTGCTCCTGACCCACATACAATTTGTGTTTTGGCCCACTTTGGGTTCGTTACAGTTTGGTTGTAGACATTTCCCCCATTACTCCACCTCTCTCTACCTTCACTCTTATTCTTCGCTCCCTCGCTTCTTTTCCCTGAGTTATAATATATGTGCACTTGTGACGGACCAGTAGACAATACAGAGAGTGTTAACTCATGTATACTGTATGTGTGAACCCTGGAATGTGCAGTGCATGCAAAATATTCCGTAGGTGGGAGCTGCCCCCAGTTTTTATTGTGCATTTATCTAGCTCACTCTTGTGGCCCCTTTCCATAGCGCGCGTGTGTGTGTGTCACTGACTGTTTTGACCTAGGAGTGTTTGCTAGGAGTTTTGCTGGTAGTGTCACATGGTTTTAGTGGTGCACAGTGTGTGCCGGCTGGCCATGACCTGCACGATGGGTTTCAGTATGTAATGGGATAATGCACCTCCAGCAGAACAAATGGAATTGCCTTATATCCGGGGTACAATGGGGCGGCTTTGTTGTAAATATGGTCCCGTATTATTGTGCTTGTTTCTGTATAGGGCACAGCGTACCTAATTGCATTGTGGCAGCAGCTCTCAGCATGCGGCACGTGATGTATACATAGTAGTTTAGTAGCCAGTGGCTAGTACATTCAGGTAGCTAGTGGTCAACCTTTATACCAAGCCTGACTAGTACATTTAGTAGCTACTGGCTAGTACATTCAGGTAGCTAGTGGTCAACCTTTATACCAAGCCTGACTAGTACATTTAGTAGCTACTGGCTAGTACATTCAGTAGCTAGTGGTCAACCTTTATACCAAGCCTGACTAGTACATTTAGTAGCTACTGGCTAGTACATTCGGTAGCTAGTGGTCAACCTTTATACCAAGCCTGACTAGTACATTCAGTAGCTACTGGCTAGTACATTCAGTAGCTAGTGGTCAACCTTTATACCAAGCCTGACTAGTACATTTAGTAGCTACTGGCTAGTACATTCAGTAGCTACTGGCTAGTACATTCAGTAGCTAGTGGTCAACCTTTATACCAAGCCTGACTAGTACATACATTTAGTAGCTACTGGCTAGTACATTCAGTAGCTAGTGGTCAACCTTTATACCAAGCCTGACTAGTACATTCAGTAGCTACTGACTAGTACATTCAGTAGCTAGTGGTCAACCTTTATACCAAGCCTGACTAGTACATACATTTAGTAGCTACTGGCTAGTACATTCGGTAGCCTTAAGCTTTTTACTAGTGCATTCAGTAGCTAGCTGATACAGCCATTTTTATCCGCTTCACTGTACCTACGTAACAGAGAGATGCTTCTAGTTAGTGCATTCTGCAGACATATTATTATTGTATATACTCTGTTCCTTTTATCTCGTGTGTGTGTGTGTGTGTGTGTGCGTGTGTGTGTGAAGTGGCTGAATCGAACCGGACAGCTGAGATTTACCAAGTTACCTTTGATGAGCTAGCTCGCGTGTATGCAAGCATGTAGGCTTCCCCAGTCCGGAAGGAAATGATCTTGATTGGCTCATTAGTTGACCTGTGGTTTGCGGTAGGAAGAATGTCTCAGTGTTTTGTTCTTTTTCGACACAGTTTGTAGGCTTAGCATGGAGTATGTGTATACATTTGCAAACAAAAGCTCACATACCACAGATGATGTGACGATGACACAAACTTACTATAGAGTGAATGTGCAGGAAGTTGGTAAAAGTGTATTGTCAATGTCTCCCTCTCCACACACAGTATATAACATCACATGGGTTAGAGTGGCGAACAATGCTTTTCCTAAAACAGTCAGTTTAGCATTTGGAGGTGTGTTTTATTGGAGGTGGAAGTACTATTTTGTGGGGTTAGGGTGTCAGTAAGCATCGGTGGGGGAGCAAAACTCACCCAAAATCTCGTACTCAATAACCTGTAGTTGACTTGCTTCGTTTGCCTTGCCCTTCTCCCTCGGTACCTCGTTGTTGACGGCGGTTGTGTGGGTTTAAAAAGTATACGCTGCAGGTACGTTAAGGTGGGCCCTAAATATTGTGGCCAAGTGGCCGGATGGTAAAAATAACAGCACCATCTGGAGACAGTAGTAGAACACACTCCATTATCTCTGCTTCATATCGGCTAGTGGCAGTAGTACTACTCGCCTTTGCCTCCCCCCAGTAGATCCGGAGTGCAGTGAGTGGAATCCCTCTAATCCAGACACCAATGGGACCAAATAAAGTGTCCTATTAATGAAGTGCCCTTTTTTCAGGGGTTAAATTTCATGCAAGAAACTGTTCTTGGGAAAAGAGAGTGTGTTGTATTAGAGAGGTGTCTTCATTTCAGAGGTGTCCTTGTTCGAGAAGGTCCTTATTTCAGAGGTTGCTTTATTAGAGAGGTGTCTTCATTTCAGAGGTGTCCTTGTTCGAGAAGGTCCTTATTTCAGAGGTTGCTTTATTAGAGAGGTGTCTTCATTTCAGAGGTGTCCTTGTTCGAGAAGGTCCTTATTTCAGAGGTTGCTTTATTAGAGAGGTGTCTTCATTTCAGAGGTGTCCTTGTTCGAGAAGGTCCTTATTTCAGAGGTAGATGTATTAGAGAGGTGTCTTCATTTCAGAGGTGTCCTGTCGAGAAGGTCCTTATTTCAGAGGTGCGTTATAGAGAGGTGTCTTCATTTCAGAGGTGTCCTTATCGAGAAGGTCCTTATTTCAGAGGTTTGCTTTATTAGAGAGGTGTCCTCATTCAGAGGTGTCCTGTTCGAGAAGGTCTTATTTCAGAGGTTGCTTATTAGAGAGTGTCTATGTCAGAGGTGTCCTTGTTCGAGAGTCTTATTCAGAGGTTGCTTTATTAGAGAGGTGTCTTCATTCAGAGGTGTCCTTATTCGAGAAGGTCCTTATTCAGAGGTTGCTTATTAGAGAGGTGTCCTCATTTCAGAGGTGTCCTTGTTCGAGAAGGTCTTATTTCAGAGGTTGCTTTATTAGAGAGGTGTCTATTTCAGAGGTGTCCTTATTCGAGAAGGTCCCGTATTTCAGAGTTGCTTTCTTAGAGAGTGGGTCGTCATTTCAGAGGGTCCTTATCGAGAATGGTCCTATGTCAGAGGTTGCTGTATTAGAGAGCGTCACTCAGTTCAGAGGTTGTCCTGTGTTCGAGAAAGGTCCTTGTATTTCAGAGGTTGGGCTTGCTTTATTAGAACGAGGTGTCTCTCAAGTTCAGAGGCGTCTTGTCGAGCGAATGTCCTTCTTATTTCAGAGGTGCTTACTTTAGAGAGGTGTCGGTCTTCATTTCAGAGGTGTGCCCTTATTCGAGAAGGTCCTTATTCCAGACGGTGCTTTATAGAGATAGAACGGTGTCTAATTTCAGAGGTGTCCTGATTCGAGAAGTCTTATTTCAGAGGTGCGGTATTATTTTTGTTTTTTAGTAGTGTGTCCTCAGTTTTGCAGTTTTTTAGTCTAATTGTCCTGAGAGGAAGGTCCTTATTTCTATTTGTTAGGTGCTTTATTAGCAGAGGTGTCCTCAGGTCAGAGGCGCTCCTTATCGAGAAGGTCCTGATTTCCGAGGTGCTTATTAGAGAGGTGTCTTGCATTTCAGAGGTGTCCTTATTCGAGGAAGGTACCTTATTTCAGAGGTGTGCTTTATTAGAGAGGTGTGCTCATTCAGAGGTGTCCTTGTTCGAGAAGGTCGTATTCAGAGGTGGTTTACCGAGAGGGGTTCATTTCAGAGGTTTTGACTTGTTCGAGAAAGGTCATTATTTCAGAGTGTGCTCTGAGCGATGTCTTCAGTTTCAGAGGTGCTTATCGAGAAGGTCCTTATGCAGAGCGATGCTGATGAGAGAGGTGAGTCATGCAGAGTGCGTATGCGAGCAGGTTGCACTTATGTCAGAGAGGGTGCTGTATGAGAGAGGTGTGCTCAGTTTAAGAGGTGTCCGTTTCGAGAGGTCCTTATGTCAGATGTTGCTGGTAGAGCCAGCGTCTAGCAGAGGTGCTTAGTTTCGGAGAAGTTTCCCCTTAGTTTCAGAGGTTGCTTATTTGGAGGTGTCTTTGCATTTTTGCAGAGGTGTCCTTATTAGAGAAGGTCCTATTTACAGCGTGCTTAGTAGAGAGGGTCTCATTTCAGAGGTGTCCTGTTCGCGAGGTCCTTATTTCAGCAAGTGCTGTATTAGAGACGGTGTCCTGATTCAGAGATGTCCAAGAGAGGGTTCCACTCCATACCCCATCCATCCGCGTTGATATATACACGCTCCGTTGACACACGGGAGTGTGTAACTGGCTGTACAAGCATTTCCTTGTTTGTCTTGTTTTCATGTTCCCTGTGCACACATGTGTGTCATCTCGAGCTGGAGAGATGCACATCAATTTTGTTGTGCAGAGTCAACTGCAATTATCTGCGAATGTACGTATGATGTATGTATATGTACATGTATAATACTAGTTGCTGAATGCCAATTATGTCTGGATGTCATGAATGCTCGTGTTTATTCACGTAAAGTAAATTATAGGGTACTATTCTATATAGACTGGTGTATATGAGGGTGTGTGTTATGTCTCTATGGTGACAGTATGGCTCCCAGACAACTGGCTGTTGCTCTGTTATGGTTACTCATTCATTTACCTCGCCTGTGTGTCCTGGTGGCTAATTAGTGGAATCGGTCTGTTTGCCTCTCCAGAGTCCAGTATCAACAGTAAACGGAGCGGCGGGCTAATGGGACGTGGAGCAGGGGCAGGGGAGAGGGGGCGGAGGGAAAACTGGGATCTCGTCCGGTGCCTGGTGGTCTGTCGCTGGCTCATCTCGTGTATGAAGAAGAAGAAACGGCCGTCGGGGGGACCACCTTCCAAAACACCACTCCCAGCACTCCTCCGGTAAGAGGGGGAACTTGTACGGTCCCTCCACCTATCTATGTAGTTTTTTCTTTATTATTCACTCCTCTTCCCAATTCCTCTCACACAAAACACAACAATAGACTGACCCAGACACCACCTATGTACCAAAGGCCACCGACTGACAAGAAGAAATGCGGTCGTGATGACCTAGCGAGGACCTGTAGTCACATAGCTCTTTCAAGGTAGGTATATAACATATATTATATACCATTGGTGGAGGACGAGACGGGAGGGAGAGGAGAGGGCGAGAGGGAGGGAGAGAGGTAATAGGAGGAGAAGAGAAGAGGGGGAGGATCGGGAGTGAGGAACGGGGAGGGAGGGGAGAGATACGAAGGACTGGCATAGATGAGGGCAGAGGGAGAGGATGAGATGAGGCGAGAGAGGGAGAAAGGGGAGGGGAGAAGAGGAAGGAGACAGTGTGGAACTGAGACGGAAAGGAGAGGAAGGGTGTGAAGACCGGAGGGGAAAACATTCGCATGGGTTGAGAAAACAAAATGTTGGAGCAGAGGCGAAATGGACCCAGAGCCGACTAGAAGAAGGAGGTTGGTACGAAGGTTGGAGATCATGAGACGTTATAGACTCGGTCAGTGATCGTGAAATGGAGAGAAGTAGTACTGGCAGAGGTCATGCCAATCCACAGGGGAAGGTCTTTATACGACCCTTGGGTGGGATAAAAGCGCACAATAGAATGCGTCCGGAGTTGATTGGGTGAATGACATCAGCTGTATCGCACGCACGCATTGTGCTGATAGATAGGGCAATCTAATGTATACACACAGCTAGTGTCCACGTACTACATACACATGATGCTAGCTACTACATCGTTATTCAGTTCCATGACATCATCATCACCTAATGTGCATTAGTTCACCTGTAATGTGTTTGTAGTCCACAGTAGTAGGATAATGTACAGCCTGGTCATTCGGCATAGATGCTATGTAAAACTGCGGACCACACAGCAAAGGCAAGTGCCCTTGCCTCACGCCCACATGTTGATATACAGTAGATATGCAGAGGAAGTAGAGAAAAGAGTCGTACTCTAGGTGACTAGGGTAGTTTCAATTTCAGATACATATGTAGCGCAGAGCATGACAGTACACGTCTTTTCAAACTTATGTGTGCAGTGTTGAATTGAGCCGATAGTCCCGAATTAGAGGGAAACTGCGTGAGAAAACTGGACGAAAGGCGCATGTAAAGAGCTGCAAGAGGAGCCCTGTGCTGTTGGTGTTCGAGCGACAAACGCTAGGGCAGCCCCAGATGCTCCAATCCGACGGAAGATTTACTAGTGAGAATGATCGAGAAGGCGTCTACCTTGTTAGAGCTATGGAACGCGTCTGCGCGCAATTCAAATTCGGCGCACGCTTAAACGCGCGAGATGAGCGCTCGCTTTCTCACTGGGAAGTCTGAACACTGAGCGATAAGGTCCAGAGAGAGGAAAAACCGGTCGACAACTGAGGCTCGGACTATCTCACGGCACACTTCACATGACACTGACTCCGACCCATGTAAGCGCTTTGGCGAAGGTGCCACACTTTAGAGTCCGGAAAGTGTATTTAGAGTCGAGGAAAATTGCTCTACTCGAATAGAGTCTCGCATGGAGCAATCATGAATGTGCGACTGTACTAAAGTCCATTACGTAGAACAACTGAATATCATGTGCCGAAAGAGTAATAAAAGAAAACAAAGAGGTACATACACAAGTAGAACGGTTAGTGCATGAGTGAATTGCACATGCAACCCAACTAAGAGAAAGGACGGTGAGTACGAATGCCACACTCCCAAACTGCACTCAAGGCCTAATGTGCAATTTTTGTTTTGTGATGCATAGAGGAAGGATAACATCTGTGGGTGTTGTGGTGGTTGAATCACACACATATCATTTGCCTCTTTGGCGATGGTATGTGAGTGCCCATCACAGCCTAGGGTGTTGGATGTGTTACCTGCTAATAAACTAAGGTACACACAGTGATGGCAAGTTTGAAAGATGTCTCCAAGATCAGTAGAGCCTATGGTGTCATGTTACTTTCAGAGCTTCATCCCAGAGTAAAGGACCTGTCATGCATCATGTACATGAGGAATAAAGTATATACGTGCAGTGTGGCGCGAGTGTTGGTACGCAGGGTTCATACTGTACATTCATGTTTTCACATCCTCGACGTCATGTCTCCCAATCTCTCCCTCACTGCGCTCTCTCCCTATCAGCACTCCCTGTCTGGCGCTTCTCTCAGCTCTCTCTGTCTTCTACTGCGTCCCCGCCCTCCGTTTCTCGTCTCATTCGTTCTGTTTCTCTCCCTGCCTCCTTCTTACTAACCGCCAGCCAGAGCTCACATCAACACACTGTGTTGTGATTGATCGTAACAGTATCACTGTTTTGCTCCAAATCCAATGTTTCTCATCGCAAGGGTTACATGTACATACAGACCACGTAGGATGAAAATAGTGCTACATAAAAGAGGTGTAGGTCTGTTCTTAGTGAGACATATAGGTAATGCTTTTACACATGTTCGCACAGGTTTTATTGCATGTGGATGGCGTTACAGAAGTTTTTACCAACGAGTACGGAGGCCCCGCCCAGCCACCCTACACCAACCCCCCCGAGCCCTCCCCCCGCCCAGCACGCCACCAACACCACGCACCAACAGCGGGGGCGCAGCCCCCACCACCCACCAAGGGACCCGGCCCCCACCCACACCACCCCGACGCCCAACACACACACACAACGATACATGCGACACACGCCACAACGAAGGTGGGTGGAATTGACAGGAAATTCATGGTCCGCAGTGGAGAGATAGAGGGAGCATCCACCAGGTGTCTACGTCCTCTAAGAGACCTACTGCGACGAGTTCTCCACAGAATGGGCGAGATAGCAAGTAATGAGTGCATTCGCTACTCAACTGCGCCAGCGTAGGGCACAGGACAGGTTCTGACATGACGAAATGACCACCCAATGTAGAGGTGTTACTATAGTCTGCCATTGAAGTCACAAAGGGTTCTAAATATAGTGTGTGAGAGCATATTGTTTTTTTGAGTGACGCAATACACGTTAAAGACCCCACCTTTCCCGAGAACGTTGCTTGTTAAATTACATAATTACGTCCAAAAATATGAGTCAATTGATGCCCACTCCAACGTAGAGATTTTTATTGCCCTTAACTTTAACAGTATAGAGGATGAGTTGTTTTGGTTAAAGCTACAAAGCATACACTGTGTATTATGCTAAAAGTATGAGATATTTGCATACATGCGGACAGGTCAGCTTTATTGGAGACAAATTGTGTTATGTTGTTTTTGCCTTGTTCCCCGGAAGAGTGGTGTGCTGTGGTCAGCTTGTAAATTGCCTGAACGTGTGCTAGCTGGACTGCAGCAAACCACACTATGTTCGAGTTGCACAACATCCAACAGCAAAACTGTGTGTACCATTGTCACTTTCCCCTCTCTTGCCCACCCTGTATGCTGAAACGATGCAGTAACTTGTGTTGAGTTGCTAGCTCTCCAACAGTCACACCGTTATGGTACAAAGCTGCAAATTGAGTTATACCCAATGTTATATGTGAATCTGGATCTCCATTTTAGTATACACTGCTTATGTGTGTGAGTCTGGACTGTTCCATTGAGTAGAACAGCGTAACTATAGCTTATAGTTTAGTAACACCTACTTCTGCCGTGGGAATGCAGAATATCGTCTACACTTGTCTCAAGGGACTCAATAGAGCTCCTCGACGTTCCACACATTCTTCACGGCTTAGTTTGGAGTCCGTACGTAATCCGCCTCTACAGCGGTAAGCTATACTACTCCCATTCATACCTGATGTGTAGTGGTTGTAATGGTACATTGGAGGCATACTTTGGCTCGCATACAGGTGTGAGCCATGAACTCCTCTAGCTTTATGAATAAGACGTTCCCTGCACCAGGGGATCACACCATCCCTGCAAGCACCCCGAGACACCAGATGTTTGTGATGATTAGGCAGGCGACATACAGGTGGCGCCCTAGTCATGGTGGAGCGACAGGTGTTACAATATGATTATCCAAATACATGATGGTTCATACTCTCTGGAATCATATGCATGAGAAGAGTAGTCATAGAATATGTCCTTTCAGACTACTCTACGTAGTGTTTGAGGGAGAGATTTTTTCTGTAGTGGTACAACATGCTGCGAGCAAGGACGAGCGCCGAGAGGTAGTTAGATATTTCACGCCACGTTGTTTCACGCGGATGTAGCAATCAAAGCGATTAGAAGCGAGTAGTGCGTGATACGAAGATAGTAATACGCGGTACGATGTCGCGTCGCTCTTCTGCTGTATAATGAGATAATAAAAAACATTACACGATGAAAGATGACATAGATGCTCGTCATCGCTGCGCTCGCCCGCATTAGATGAACAATTGAGTCGTGACTAGAGCGTATGTGCAAAGCTGCCAAAGGAAAAGCACTAACAATGGCGATGCATAATCAAGATACTACTTGACTGTAGGAGCAAAGAAGTGACATTTTGCGATGAAACTGACATACAGCATGAACTAACTAATACGTAACTTTCAGGATAACCTGAGAAATTAAAGCACTCTACAGTGCAAACCCTCAGGGCGAGCTGGGTCAGCACGGTAAATGTACGCGAATGGCTATATGATGAGCTGGGCTATTTGAGTAGCGAGATGCGAAAGTTACTCGTGTCCTCCGCTAGAGTAGCTCGCGAAGAAGTGTGACACCGGGCTGGCTACAGTAGTAGAATAGCATTCGGGAGTCGATACACACACCCTTCGTTGTGTGACTTGCTTGTGCCTCCAAGGTACGCAGAGCAAGCTTCGACCCAGTCGAGGTGTAATAAGGCCTGTGCTAAGTTGCATATTGGCTTGTATTTACCATCTTGGTTTTCACTGCCTAACTGCTGACGCGGCACGTTTCAAAATCGCCATTTGATTAATACTGAATGCCACAGTGTAGCCGCTGTGACCACGTGGGCCGTCGCTATTTTACCTGTGTTTGTGCGTCGCGTGTATGGGTGGCAGAAAGAAAAATTGAATGGTACAGACGGAGACGGACAGACCACACGTACTGTAACCTCGCTGTGCATGCGGCGCCGAGGTTAATTACCCTACCCACCGCTTGTTGGTTTGCAGTGGAACTAGATTGAGGAGGGAAGATTTACCAGGTCGATAGTTGACTACATAAAGGATATTCGGCTTGATACTTCCCTTATGACAATGCAGCATTGCTGACCAAGTTGTTCCAAAGTACTCTAATAGGCTGAATATAAGTCATAGCAAGAATTAGTTTTCCCCTGTCTACTGCTACATGCCCCTTTAATGACTGTTCCTCAAAGACCCCCTAATCCTCCCATTACCATCTACCTCCCCCCCTCTCCATCTCTCTGAGATGGTGTCGGTGCAGTAATGCAGACCATTGCCGATCTCCTGACCCCCCAATACCTTCAGTACAAGACCTCTTCAGAGAATCCTGTGTCTTCCACAGAGGAAACTATGGTCAAGTAAGTAGTTTTCAGTTACATAAAGAACACCATAGAAACTCTCAATCCAGGACACACTTTGAGGTCCCAAACGTTCAACACATCTCCATATTACTCTATAGTACATTATTACGCTCTCAAGAGAGGACAACCTCCCTACAAAGGACACGCAACGCCTGTCCAACCTGTCCTTATCAAGGATTCTAGCTGTATTAGAGATTTTTCCTATGTCCACACTTTGTGGATCGGAAGAACTTCATGCGGGGAGAATTTTCACAAATTTTGTTTGTTGGCTACAATTGTGTGATGGCATTTGCATAGCGGGACAAGCATCATTCAGTGAATATGTGTTTTTAACAATTTAAAGCTTCCTTCTATGGACATCAAGGATGAGATTTCGATTTACTTCTTTTGATGTACTGTGTGAAATTGATTAGCTTTGGTGGCAAAATCCCATCCCACGTTTTTAAAGTGAGTACATTCCGGGCAGTGTGAAATGTTGTGCTCGATTCTTTTAAGTCTTTGTATGGCTGTGTAGTATCCTTATAGCAGTGGGATTGTTGCAACATGGTGGGCAGTTAGAGCATAGAAAATTGCCCATAGAGTCTGAAATGTTGCAATTGAGATAGGAAAATGGAGTAGATGTGTGGGGAGGGCAGGAGTTGTTAGTGGTAGGAATCACCACAGGAAATGAAGAAGTTAATCACATTAACCATCCCCCACTTGTTAACCTCTACGGGCCGGGGCCAGCTTGCTCTGTGTATACTTGGAGAGGCCACCAACAAGCTCACAACGAAGGCCGTGTATCGACGAGTCCCTGCAGCTCGCTACTAACTTTAGCTACCAGTGTCATCACTCTCACGCTAGCTACTAGTGGGAGACCACCACACAAGTAAACACATAGCGAATACGAGCCCATCAATTAGTAGCGGTACCAGAGCTCATGGACAGCTGCAGTCGCCTGAGGTTTGTACTGTATGGCTTTCCATTTGCTCAAGTGCTTCAACGTGACATGAGAACAGTATAAAAAACTTATTCCAAATTAAAACTGTGGAATATAGGATGCCATAAAAAGTAAGGAGACAAGACAGGATGACTAGTGAGTGATGGACGTAGTACAATGGATGATGGCTACATACTTATGACCTGACCTGCGCTATGCTCGTGAAATTTTTGCATCCACACAAGCCCTATATGTCGCCACTTTTCTCACACGACATGCACTTTGTTTTTAGTGTGAGGACAAGGTAAAGGTATTCTCTGGAGGCCACACACGAACGCAGCATTGTAAATTCTTGGTTAGTCTATTATCCAACATGGAAGCTTTAGACTTCACACAATGCAGTCACAACTGAAAACTGAGTAGATTATGTATTACCTGTCCTAATGTGCTATATGAAAATAAATCATAGCGTGCGATCAGACAAGGCGGCAACTCGTACTTTCGGCAGCCAATGATATGGCCTCTTTGTGGATGACATTTTACAATACACAATCAATAAGCAATGTCATTTCAAAGTATGTACCTCATACCACTGCACTAACCGAACCTCAATGTTCACAATAGGTCATCCCTGTCTTGTCTCCTTACTTTATGGCATCCCTATAGTCAACATTTTAAATTCAAGAATTTTTTATTTACTTGTATCTAATACTACCGTTACTTAGTGATAGATTCTTAATATTGGTGGAGTCCATAAATCGGCCAACTAACAATACCTTCGTCCGTACCGAATCACTTTGGACACATGGTGACGGAGAAAATGTATGAGCAGGTATCTTTATTTCAAGGGGTTAAATTGAGCTAAAGAGAAATTTTAGAGGGAATGTCCCATCGTTTCAGGGGTTAAATTGGTTAGAGAGAACCATTTTAGAGGGATGTCCCTCGTTTCAAGGGGTTAATAAATTGAGTTGAAGAGAGCAACTATTAAGGGAATGGTCCTCCGTTTCAGGAGGTAAATTGAGCTGAGGAGCAATATTGAGAGATGTCCTCCCACGTGTTTCAGGGGTTAATTGAGATTATAGAGGCAAATATAAAAGGGTGATCCTCGTTTCAGGGGTGGAAATTGTTAGAGAGCTGCATATGAGGGCTGTCCTCGTTTCAGGGTTAAATTGAGTAGAGAGCAATATATATAGGGAGTCCTCGTTTCACAGGGGTTAAATTGAGCTAGAGAACAATTAGAGGGATGATATCCTCGTTTCAGGGGTTAAAATTGAGTTAGAGGGCAAATATTAGAGGGATGTCCTCAGTTCAGGGGTTAAATGAATAGAGGGACATATTAGAGGAGGTGTCCCCCTCCCCCTGGGTATTTCATGATTCAAAGGGGTTAAAGTTGAGTTAGAGGGGCAATATTATAGGATGTCCTCGTTTCAGGGGTGGCCTGGTTTCACTGTTCCTCTGCCTGTTTCCACCCCGACACATCTGGCAATTTGGGCTTACGTCATAATTTGAATCGCCCCTTGATCGGATTTTACTTATATACTAGCATAATGTGTGGGCAATTCCAAAGGCACATGACAACATACATTAGTATTTACAGTTGTAAACTACTGAACCTCGGGGATTTATTAAACCGGTTCGTAGTGGGCTGGCAAACTGCCCTGAAGAAACCTACGTAACGGAAATTCCAAAGGTGCAGTCGAGTCCTTTGCTGACTTCCATGTACACACACCAGGAAACTTGGGCTTTTTCCTAAAATAACAGGTAACAATCTACCATTGATGCCTTGTGGCTTGGTTGACACCATTCAGCCACATATGATGAATATTAACTACGGATTTATTGAACGCAGTTTGCGTGATTGTCTCACGCCTCACAGCCACATTCATGTAACAAGACAAGTGTCCAACTTTAATATGCGTCTGATATATCTGCTGAAGTAATACAATTTATATAACCGGTATCTGTCATGTTATGCTCTCTGCGCTGTCCACAGGACTTAAGTAGTTGGTAAGGGACATAGAAAAGGGTCTTATCGACAATTCTCCACAGTCCTACATATTGCATCGCAGACAATGCCAGTACGGTGACAGACAAGCAGCAGCAACTTACACTGTGTATTTTTGAGTATGTAAGAACGGCGCACTGTCAATGTCTAACAACACCACCCGCCATTAAGCATGAAACAACAGTCAGCATACGGCAGCCATTACATCTGTGTATGTTGTTGAGTATGTAGAACGCGCATGTCAGGTTTTTACACACCACCACCATTACATGAAAAAATCATGTCAGCACGCAGCATTTACATCTGTGTAGGTTTGAGTATTTAAGAACGCGCATGGCCCGTTTACACACCACCGGCAACGCGCCCACACATTATAAAATATAAAATATGCTACATGAACAACAATGTCATCAACGCAGCATTACAATCTTGGATGTTGAGTATGTAAGGAACGGGGCGCATGTCAAGGTTATTACACACCACCACCAATTCATGAAACAACATGTCTATAAGCACACTAAGCCAAAGAATACGAGAAGAGAGAATGCCCTACAAAAAGTCTGCTCTCTCTTTCTCGCATGTAACTACTGTCTTGGCGACCAAGCGTCACCACTAATGGTGAACAACAAAATGTTAATGCTGGAAAAAAATCAGGAAAAAAAAAACCCTTGTTAACATGCTTCATGTAAGACTAAAGGTTTGGTCACGAAATTTGTTGTTGGGTGTACTCAATGCAAGTAAAATGCCAATAAGAAAAACAGGTTATGAACATGGATTACGAGCTAGAACAAGAAAAAAAGCTGACCAGCGATTTTCATACTCACGAACAGACGTCTTATATTGAAGAACCACACGGAAAACACGCTATCACTGATTTCAACTCTTACCATTGGATATCTGGTGCCTAGATACAGTACTCGACCTCGATAAGTAACTTCCTGGGTGTTTTTGTGTGGGCCCCTCACAAAAGGGGCGGTGTGTTTCCCCTCCTCTTTTGCAGCTAGCACTAATGAGAAGGTTTTTTGCGTTTTTTCTTTGCGACAAGTGAAACGCCATCTAAATCGGTATAAGACATATTGTTTAATAGGACTGTCCAGTAATTTGACCTCCTCACTGTGACAGCTTAACAGCTTTCTTCAGACCACCCTTGTCGACAATGTTTTCTCAAAGTTAAATTCCTCACTCCGTCCCTGTTTTTTCTGCGTCCCGTGCCGTCCGTGGTTTGGAATGACCAAACGACAGTGAACTGCTCGACCTAATCCTCCCCTCTGCGAGGGCTACTAGACAAACGTGGACAATGTTCTGAAACGGTGCTTGGCCTGCATCAGTTACAGACTCATACCCTCCCCCCCCTCCTCACAGAACGACGACACTATGTTTCCATGACCCTCAGAAGAGGAACATGTGACCCCTACCTCCAACGATAGTTATCCCTCTCTTCCATCCCCCCTTCCCTCTCTCCCGTTCATCCCATGATCTCTCTTCCATCTCTTCACGTTTCCCCTCCCCCCTCTCGCTCCGTCTCGTCTCTCAACGTCGTCCTCTTCCCATCCTTCTGTCATGTCATAAAATCTATAGAGCTCTAATATACAACTTTTTCCATGCTCCCTCTCCGACCCAACCACAGTACACTATCGATATGTTTGTAAAACTTTTTTCATCAATCTATTTGTTTCTACCTGTGTTATTCTATAAGACTATACATGTTTGATACCTGGTGGAAGTTATGTCTATGTTCTGTTTTAATAAAGTGTCTGAATGTTCACTTATGTTTATGGATAATTATAAATGACAGTAAGAATACTTATTATACTAAAGTTGTGTTTGTAGTTTTGTACTGTATGTCAATGCATCACAGTGGTGCTTTTATGAAATCAACGTTCCCAAGTTTCCCAAACAGTTTTTTCATGGCAGCAAACATGCATCATTAAGTCATAATCAACATTTACAGTGAAACCTCCTGAACAAGGGACACTATGATTTTGCCCTTGTATATAGAGAGGTTGTCCCTATCTCAGAGTCAAATAATACACTAAAGTATTAGCATGGGTTTGATATACAAGTGTTCACTTTGTAGAGAGGTTTTCTTTTCCCTACTCGGAGGTGGATACACGCCCTTCGTTGTGACTTCTTGCGATGTGCCTTCAGATACAGCGAACAAGCGGACCCGGTCGAGGTAAGCTATGTCTATGAAAAGCACTAAAGTGCAAACCCTCGGCGAACTGCGCATGCGCAGGTACCGTTAATAATTGAGGGCCTGGGCCCTATCTTATACTAGTATACGATTTACACCCGCTTAGCTCGCGGAGTCCGTGAAACCGTGGCTAGTTACAGTAGTAGAGAGTCATGCGGGAAGTCGATACACGCACACCTACGTTGTGACTTCTTGTACCATCGAGGTACACAGCGCAGACGATCAGGTCGAGGTAAGCAACTATGTCTAATAGCATATCTGGCTCGTGTTTACACATTGGTTTTCACGCCATAACTTCTGAACGCGGAACTTTTACGAAAATCGCCATTTTTAAAATCAAGCCAGTGTAGCGCTGAACCCGTTGGTGTCGATATTTTACATGTTTGTTGCGCGTGGTAACAACGGACAGACATGACAGACAGACTGACAAACCAAGTACTAACCTCGCTGCGCATGCGCGTCGAGGGTTAATAATGAAAAGCACTGAAGTGCAAACCCTCGGCGCACGGTACGCGGTGACGCGCACGCGTAAGTCAACGCATGCGCCGTACTACTAATTGATGGGCTGGGTTTAGTTTTAGGTACGTAGAGCACGCGGATCGATCATGCCCGTAGTAAGCCGTTGTGTATTTGCATATTGGCTTTTTCGCGCTCTAGCTTTGCAACGGAGCGGTTTCAGAGAAAACCGTTTGAAATTTCTGACCTTCATTGCCCGTTCGGTAGGTGGTATCCTTTGTGAGACGAACGAACACTCCAGAAGTGAGATGAAGAGTAACAGACACACAGACACACACAGACGTACCCAAGTACCGTAACCCTCGCTGCGCATGCGCGCCGAGGGTTAATTATAACTAGCTAGCTGGCTACTGTTCGGCCGTGCACTTCAGCCGTTGCGGCAAGAACCTGCAATGAAACGTTCGCATAAAGAATTTGACAATGCTAAAAATGTGTTGCGCTCACAAAGAGAGATAAAAAGCAGTATAACTTCATCTTTGGTCTCTGCGCACTCTTGCTCAAAACGCTATGGCTAGCTAGCTCGACCGGCGCGGCGCGAGGATCGGACAGATGTGAGCATGCGCATAAACAGCGCGTTAAACCCTGTGCGCGCGCGCGTGCGCGATCCAAATGCCGACTTTCCTCGAAACGTAGAGGAGCAGTTCGGCTCACGGACCTGTACGAGGTCCTCCAGGTGGACAAGAGTGCCGAGGAATCTGATCTGAGACGCGCCTACCGCCGCCTGTCCCTGCGCGTCCACCCGGACCGCGCCAGTCCCGAGGAGGTGGCCTCTGCAACTGAAAAATTCCAGGTACCCGATGGGGGGCTGGGGGGTGGGGGTTCCATAGAATTAGGTATATGCCTGCAAGCAGTAGAGTAAACCATCGTCCGTCTCTCACTGATAAACGCTTTGCATCCTCCTGGAATTTTACTAAGTAATTGCCCCTCTTGAGTGTAATAATTATATAGCTATTGTTCGTGTTGATATAGACGCTGGGAAAGATATATTCCATACTGACCGACAAGGACAAGCGAGCCATTTATGATGAGAATGGCACAGTTGACGAGGATAGCTCTATTTTTGACCAGGTTAATATACACCTGTTTGCAGGGTTGCCTCCGAATAAACGCCATGCATTATACCCGTGCAACTTTGTTGTGTGAGCATGCAACAAACTTGCATGAGCATACAACAAACTTATTGCGTCCAAGATGTTGCGTGGACCCATCATACCCACACATTGGAAGTTGCATGCAACCATGCCCTTAGGTGACACCTAGGAACGCGGACAAGTGTCCTTAATTCAGAGGTGTCCCTTACTTGGAGGTAGTATAGAGAGACATCCTTCAGAATTAGGTTCACTGTATGTTTCCCAATATCTCCCTGTGTGTATATAGGATAGAGATTGGAGCGACTCTACTGGAGACTGCTGTTTCCCCAAGATCACAGTGGAAGACATCAAGTCATTTGAGGACAAGTACAAAGGTTCGGAGGAGAGATGGAGGACCTGAGGAGAGCCTATCTGCAGCACGAGGGAGACATGGATGCCATCATGGGAGAAGTGAGGGTTTGACTGGGAGAGTGAGGATAATGAAGGCTGTGAAAGAGAACAGTGCCTCCAAGCAGTTTTATCCGTAAATTGCACATAATTAAAGGGGCAAAATACAGGAGATAGAAGTGCTCATAACGTCACAAGACAAACAGTGGGTAGGAAGGCAGTACGAAAAGGTATGTGAAATGCGGAAACTTTGTTGCCTGAGCACAGGTATTGCCAGCTCTAACTGAACGCTTTGAGAGAATGATGCTTCTTCTTGCACTTGTCTTATGGGGAGTAAATAGCAATCTACATTATGAGGGAGAGATAGGAATAGAGATAGGTGCTGAGTAAGAGGGGTTCACGTGGTGAACATAAAGGCTATACACGTGATGACCCTTCCATCAAACACTGAAATTGCATTTCCATGGAAGACTATGAGGCGAAGAACAGAGGTATGGAAAGGGGAAAGGAAACATGAAGGGCTTAGCTAAGAAACAAGAAGTGTGAAAGAAAAGTGTCACAATTGAAGTTGGTAGGTAATTGAGGCAATGGCGGAAAATCTATTAGCATGCAACATAAGGTAGACTTTATGATTTGTTCCTAAGGTCCCTTCTCTTTTAAAGAGGCAAAATGCAAAAGGAAAAAATCTCACAATTGGAGTTGGTCGGTAGGTAACTGAGACAATGGCAGAAAATCTGTGCATACAGCAGGAAGTAGACTCTGTGGCTTGTTCCCCCAGGTCCTCTGTTCCAGTGTGGAGGATGAGCCTCGCTACACTGCCCTGCTGCAGGGCTGGATTGCAGACGGGGCTCTGCCCGACTTTGAAAAGTTCTCGGCTGAACCGGAGAAGAGGAAGAGAAAGAGGAAGGCTAGGTTCGAGAAGGAAGCAAAGGAGGCAAAAAAGATGAAACTTGACGGGGAAGAGTCGAGTGAGATCTGTGGCGAGTGATAATTTAAAAAATTGAGCTCTTTTCAAATTTTCTGCAGCTGCCGACTTGTCTGCTCTGATTAAGGCAAAGCAATCGTCACGTGGACAAGAAATGGACAGTTTTTTCGACAAACTCGAGCAGAAGTATGCCAGTGGAAGTGTCTCGGGGAAATCTAAGAAACGAGCTGCTGCCAGCAATGCCTCTGGGTCGGGTACAGGTGGCGGGAAAACAAGGAAGGGTAAAGGCAGAAGAAAAAAGTGAACAACACGTAACTAAAGTTTTAAAAATGAAATGTCTGTTACTTGAATTGCCATCTAAGCATGGTCTTTACTTAATGTTTTGTACTAGTGAGGCATGCATCATAACCCACACAAAGGTTCAGTTTGTGAAAAGATTTGTATTCTAATGTGATTGAGTGAGTTTCTGTAATTATTATCCCTCACTCTATTCGTATCATCTGTGTTCTTGATTGTAATGCATATCATTATTGCCGCTTTTATATACAGCACACACATGTACAAGGTTGTGATGAGCTGTGATTTTTAAAAGGTTTTTTCATGATATGCAAAATTTGCACTAGTTTTTTGATCTGGACTTCATAAAAGGTAAAAATAAGTGAAATGGTAGGGAATGTATATTTACACATGTGTGATTAATGATGCGGTGATGTGATATGAATTTGACAATCCTACTACACGTTAACAACAACCTAGCAAAGAAAAATGACAGCGAACGAAACGGACAACATGAGAATTAATCCGAGTGTGAGCAAATGCTTACATACGCGGAGGTATGTCTGCAAACTGTTCACTGAAAATTCCTAGAATTGTCTACCAGTGAGTGTATATCTCGAGCCACAGGGGAGCAGTGGGTCGGTGGTGCGTTGGAAAACAGACTCTAAACCATCTTCTAGTGGGACGACTGCAGCCGTGTGGGGCTCTGTGGGCAAGGACTCGACACTGGCAATGCTGTTGATGCTCTCGTTAAAGAGGCTGGCCACGTCGGCCATGGTGGAGCAAGGTACGGCCCCCACCGGTTGATGGCCGGAGGAAGAAGAAGACGAGGTGGAAGTGGTGGTGGTGATGGTGTTTGCAAAGGAATAGGTGTCTTGCTGTCCAAGCTGGGGTACAGAGGTGCAGACGGGGCTGGACGACGTGGGAGAGAAGAAGGAACGGTGTGCTGTAGCTGAAGGGGTGGAGGAGGGGGAAGGGGAGGAGGCGGGGCCTGCGGCAGCTTCACCAAAGTGGGTGGCAGCCGAGATGTCCTCTGAAGTGACAGAGAGGAGGTCCTGGATGGAGTCCAAGTCCTGCATGTTGTCCAGCGGTGACGTCACGCTCGTGGGCGGGGACGGGTCGTAGAGGAATTGCACAAAGTCCTGCTCGGACGGACTGGACAGGCTTGCAAGGCTGTCAATCTCCATGTCTCCCAGGATGCTGTCGGGTAGACCGAGAACAGAGGATGAGAGGAGAATGTCCGGGTTGAGGTCGGGGTGCAGGGCCTCGGGAGACGGCGACCCGTAGCCAACCGAGTTGAAGTGCTTGAGACTGACGTTTCCGGCACTGTGGCTTGTGTGGAGCTGACTCGGTGACAGGAGGTCCCTGCTGCTCATTTGGTAGCTGAAGAAATCGGCCGGTTCGCTACTGCAGCGCACCTGAGTCGGAACGTCGGGGTCCACCCCACCACCGTTTGAGTCCATGTTGTAACCCGGGGAAGTCACGCATGAAACGTGGCTCGGAGAGCCCTCCTGTGACACTGACATGGGTCTCTGTCCCTCCTCCTGTCCCCGCTTCAACTTGTTCAGAATGTGCTCCCGGAAGGCCAGTAGGTTAGCCTTGTTCATGGAGCGCGGCCACTGCGTTTTCTTCTTGTGGCCAGTCTTCATGTCAGAGCCAGCCCCCACCCTCCCCACGGACTTGTGCTTGGAGGAATAGGTCTTCACGGTGATGGATGCCTTGACCGATGTCTTGCTCTGGACTACTATTCCGTTGCTGTTCCCCGTCGTCTTTTGGTGAAATTTAGACTTCGATGATGATGTGGCAGTGGTGGTGTTTGCTGCGTTTGTTTCCTTCTGCCTCTGTCGTGCGGCGGCGAGGCCCTCCAGATGCTGCGTGGCAAGGCATCGGGCCGTCGAGACCAGATCCGGAGTACCCAGTTTCTCCAGCTGCTGAGGGGTTAAACTGGTAACCAGGGAGTGTAGTCTGGGGATGTCGTACGGTCCCTCTTTAACCTTCATCTCGTGGATACACACCTGCTGTGTCTGGTCACCCAGGACTGCAACTAGAGCAGTGCTTACGGCTACAACCACCACCGTAGGGTGGAGGTCGGAGGTCACCAGCTCTCGTAGTGGGGGTAGTTCGGAGCAGCTGGTGAGGAAGGCCTGAAGGTGTGTGTCAGATGATACTGCGGCGGGTTTCGAATTAGGCAGAGTTGTGTTCAGATGTTGACTCCCGCCGTTGGTAAAGGTGGCGGTTTGTGAGGTTGACTGGGAATTCATGTTGCAGGAGACCTGTGCCGCTTCGGGTAAAATCTCGAGTTTTATTGAAGAGGTGTTGGGGTAATGTGCGGTTGGAGAGGCCGTGGGAGTCAGAGCTTGCCAGCAGGGACTAGTATTGCCAGTTTTGTTGGCATTCGGGCAGGATTTGTGTTCAATCTCCATCTTGACCTCACTCACAGGACTGGTCTGAGTAGGGAGGAGAGGTGGTGGAGCGAGAACGAGTTGTGTTGCCTCTCCACCACTGCACTGAACCTGGCCGGAACCGGCCGTCGAGGTCTCGTTGAGAATGTCTGGGAAATCGATATCGTACGATTCTGGTTGTTGCTGTTGTCTCAGCTCGGGGAGGACTCCGGCTGTGGGGAACTGTGTGAGATGGAACTCTCTCTGGTGGTGCTGCGGTGTCGTCGGTGGCATGGGGAATCCGTTGTGGCCGCCGGGAATCATGTACGCCGCCGTCTCCCTGGTGGGGGGTATGATGGCAGGGCCTGTCGGGTGGTGGTGGTAAGAGGGGGTAGCGGGCGGGAAGAAGGCAAAATCTCCATCGGGACTGGTGGCTGAGGGAGGGAGAGGGGTGGTGGGGGTGTGTCCTAGAAATCCCACTGTTCTCGCGCTGTTGCGTTGAGTTAGATAGAGACATGTGCATCGGAGGGTGATCCGCCGCACCGCCCACTGGAAAGGGTTGCTTGACGAAGGCTAATGAATGGTGCGGGTTGACGGGGTGAGTAGCCGGGATATGGAGCGGTAGCTGTCGAGACTCGGATCCCGACAACCACCAGACTGGAGCGTGGCGAACGAGCTGGTGATGGGCTGACACGTCGTACGGGAGTATATATCCGCTGATCGGACTCCATAGCGCATGGCAGAGAACAGCTTTGGTCCTCCATCTCACACAACTCCCCGTCAGGAGATGGAGAAATATCTTGAACTGCTCCCCGAACGTCCAGTGGGAGTCATTAACTCCGAGAGAATTGTCTCGATTTCGTCGGGGCTGGAGGCCGGGGAGTCGACCGCTCGCAGATGTATCCGTCCTCCATGTGCACAGAAGTTGTATCTCCACCGATTGCTGTTGAGCCTCGTGGTGCAGCGGGCATCCAGCAGAGAGAGAGTGGAGTGCGGTTTGGTGTGGGAGAGTGAGGCTGCTGGTGGTGGGAGTGAGGCGGCGGGATGAGGGGAGTGCCATGACCGAGTGCCACTGGGAGGAGGGATTGGTGACCTGCAAGGAGGAAGAAGAGGTCAACTAACACCTGAGCCTCATTAATGCCAAGCCATCACAGGTAATTTGGGGTCTGTCCATAAACTGATTAGCTCTAAACCCCTAATTAAGTGGTCACTAATGCCTCTCACAGCACTTTACCTATATACTCCACTTGCAATAGTGGGTATATACTCTGGCAAAGGTTGTAAGCTCTTGGCACGCAAAACCGGCTGATTATAGGCTCATTCTGGCCTCATCCTATTATACTTACAGTGTGTATGGAAACGTTTGGGTGGATATCTCGGTACTTTGAACGAGTGTTGATAGCCGTTAGCAAGTGCCCAGGAGGTTGTATGCATACCACGGGTACACCGGTTTTCCCTGCAATCACTCTCTGCTCTTACAAAATGTGTTCTGCTTCTTCTCTTGAGTCAAACTACGACTAGTTTTGTGTGTGTTGGGGTCTGTATTAGTTCTATCACCCACACTTTTTCACACTATACTTAGAGCTTTGGAACCCTCAATATTGGAGGAGATTATTATCTCTCACTTTCTCTTGGCTCTTGACTAATGCTGTCTTTTGTATCCTCAGCTGCTCTGAGCCAACTGACTAACTAGCCTCAGTTTTATAGACCTCGCAGGCTGTGGGCAATACCCTTTGTCGCAATATCCTGGTCTCCAGGAAAAACGCCCACACCTAGCATCCCTATGCTGCTATGAATATCTTCAAACTAAGTCCCAGTTTGTGTATATTTGGAAGGCAATGCCGTGTTTGTAACAATGACATAACGGTTTTTTCATAGCTTCCCACCTGAAAATAGAACAGCAGATTGTTGCTGAATCCCAAGGATGAAGCATGCTATTCTTGCGGCAACAGTTAAAGGCAAACAACAACAGTTCACTTTCAGTGTCTCTACACACAAACTGGCCCAAATAGACAAACACCCTCAACCTGAGAGTTCTCAATACAAAAGCACAACAGCCCACACATTGAGAGCCGCAAAGCTACCCAGAAAGCCCGTAGTAGCCACAAGTGTATAGCTACACTTTCTCATGTACAACCACCATACACCCAGTATGTAGGCTACTATAGTCCGTGACACGGTGCAGTTGGTGTAGCCTAATTGAGTACCATAGTGAACTTCATACCGTTCCCTTGCTTCTAGAGTTTGTGAAAACAAATTACCCAACTATGCATGCGCTGTAGGATCGATACGCCATAATTATCACAACAGTGTAGAGCGCGCACTTGTGCAACTACTGGACAACTGAGCTACAGGAGGACCGGTGAGCGTACAGTGCAACTATTCTGAGCTTCATTCACGAGTGTGTGGTCTTCATAAGAGCTGTGTGAGCACACAGAGTGTGCGATGCAGATAAAAGGATGAATATGCACGCATCATTCACGGCAGGGAATTAGTTACCAGACATGTTGCTTACTCCTGCACTCAGAGTTTCAGCACTTACTGGTCTTCACAGAGCTTATTACCAGTGGAATGTGCATAATTATGCACACATTCTTTTACAGAGGTTTATACACGATTATGGTATATATATAAGAGTATAATATGAGTGTGTAAGTGCAGGCATGAGCAATTACAAACACTGTTAGTGGTTTGAAAGTGTTTGCTCACCGCAATTAAGGAAAATTTTGGTATGGGAGTAGGTATAGTACATACTACTCAGAAGAATATCCATGATAGTCTCTGAGGGAGTATCATAGTGATGACGACTCACTCTGTAGCTCCACTCCATGCATGACTCGACAGTGGAGCTCCAGTCGCTTGCGAGTGAGGAAGGCGTGTCCACAGCCGGCCACCTGGCACTTGTGTCTGTAGTTCATGTGTGTGTTGAGGTGAACGTTGTAGTCTGCCTCCGAGGCAAACTTCTCGTTGCAGTCTGCAGTGAGTGAGGGAGGGAGGGAGAGGAGGGGAGGGGGAGAATAGAGAGGGAGAGGAGGGGAGGGGGAGAGAAGGTAAAATGGAGAATAGAGCATGCATGAATCCATAAATACATGAGTGCGTGTGTGCTGAAAATGAGCACCATGTTTACTGATCACGGATTCAATCTGTCACTAAAACAATATTGAAGCAAATTGTGTGCATTGCCTGTTGCAAAGTCAAAGTGTATAGAAAACGTCATTTCTATTCCTGTAAATTTTTGAGTTTGACTTTTAAAGAAACGTAAAATGCACTCAAAAGTGCTTGTATCAATATTATTTTCCTGCCTCAGCCAACTCCTAGAAAAGCAGCTACACAGCCACTGCACCCAACTCACTGTCCTTGCAACAATATATATAGTGAGTGCAGCACCAGACACTTACCCATCACGGGGCACACAAAGTAGTTGTGTGCGTGGATCTTGAGGTGGTTCTTGAGGTGGGACTGGCGCAGAAACACTCGGTTGCAGTTCTCGTGCGGACAGCAGAACTGCTTCGGCTGCTGTTTGTGGATCTCCGTGTGCTTCCCCAGCTTCTCCTTGGTGGGGAACGCCTTGTTACATCCCTGGAGTGAAGAAGGAGTATAGAATGTGTAAGTTACGGTGTATTATGTGTATAGCACATTACATAGATGTGTATATACGTGTAACGCAGTACACACATTCGTGTAACGCAGTACACACATTCGTGTAACGCAGTACACACATTCGTGTAACGCAGTACACACATTCGTGTAACGCAGTACACACATTCGTGTAACGCAGTACACACATTCGTGTAACGCAGTACACACATTCGTGTAACGCAGTACACACATTCGTGTAACGCAGTACACACATTCGTGTAACGCAGTACACACATTCGTGTATTGTGTAATACCAATAACGTGTAACTGCCCAAAATAGCACGGTAGTGTACTTCTTCTGTGTACATATTTGCAGAGGGTGAAGGTGGGACCCCCGACAGATTAAATTCCAGACTACATTCCTTAGAGCATGTATATACAAGTACATAGCTACGTACCTGGACGGTGCACTTGAACGACTTTTGAGTGGAGTGAGACTCAGAGTGAGAGGTAAGTTTGGCCTGAGACGAGAAGGCGCTGTGGCACTGCACGCACTCAAACCTGCAGATATGGCAGTATGCCGTCATTTCTAGACTTCACAAACATACATAATACAGTGGAACCTCCGAATAATGGACAACTTGGGGACATCTTTTTTCACAGATACACTCACACAGCAACAGCAGAATAAGTGGCATAGACTCTTGACAACTAAATAAGTAGCATATGGAAGTAGCCGGTTTCTGGAAGTGGCAGTGAAAGTGACTTGTTTGTCGACTAGAGTCTCATTATGCAGACTTGGCAATCATTACAACTACTTCCATGGTGGACATGCTTGGAGCCAAGCAGAACCAAGTATCCTTATTTGGATGTTTCACTGTTAATGGACTACATACTTAAAGGCCAAAAGCATACACACAGTTCTTTAGTGGCACATTTTCAGTTCCCACCTTCCAGCTATATGTCTTCCAGCTATACATCTTCCAGCTACATACAATACGCTATAGACAATACATACACACATTAACGTGTCCCCTTCCACTATATACCTGCTCTGAGTCTTTGGTGCTGTGTCCACAGAGTCATCACTACTAGTGCTGCTACTCCTGCTCCCTCCTCCTCCTTCTCCGCTGGCCGTCTGCTTACTCTCCGTCTCAGGCTTAGGAAGTTGCCTACACACCCACACACACAAGCAAGTAATAAAGAGATTAACCCTCAGTAACAGATTCCTTGCAGGGTTTACATCACACACACACACACACACAGTTGGTATGGCCCGCTAGACATAACACACCCACCACCTCATTCACTGGAAATACCACCACTTCCCCCCTTTCATTTGCATACTTATCCATATCTCTCTCTTTAAGTCCATATGCAACACGCACTCGCCTGCATTCTCCCCTCTTTTTGTTCCTCTCAATCCATACGCACGCATTCTGCTACCTCAGTTGCTACGTTACGCCATGCAGGGAAATCTAGTGATGATGTCACGGTCACGCTGATTTTTAAGTTTTAAGAATGTGCGTCTGTGTGCTACTAACATTGTCTTCCAGTCTTTCTTGTGGACTCTGCGAAGATGGCCGTTGAGTCGCGGCTGTGTGTGGAAGGCCTCCTTGCAGCCTGGCATGGGGCACTTGAACTTCTGCGGCTGACTGTGAATGGTCTGTATGTGCATCAGGAGGTTGTAGCGAACACTGAATCCTCTTCCACACTCTTTGCACTGGGAATGGAGGGTGGGAGGGAGGGAGGGAGGGAGGGAGGAAGAGAGGAGGAAAGGGGGAAAGTAGGGACGAGAGAGCGAGAAAGAGAGAAAGAAGGGAGGGAGGGGGAGAGAGAGGAAGAGAGGGAGGGAGAGTTGGAGCGAGATCGTGAGAAAAAAAGAGAAAAGAGAAAAGAATGGAGAGAGCAGGAGGTAAAGGAGGTAGAAACAGAGCAGGGAAATAAAAAATGAAGGTTGATTGGTTATTATTTCAAGTAGTGGACAGACACGTGTAGTGTGTTGATAAACACGACAGCCTTCCAACTTGAACTCCCGGTAGCTATATGGAGACAAAGCCACTACAACTTCCGCTAATGAGGCTCAGTACAGACAGTATATGGAGCAATCGGAATCCGTGACCGCTAGTACAAATGTTTAGAATTACATAATCTACAACTTGTACTCTGGGAGTATCCATTTTAAAGGTAATATCATGTATCTTCAGATCTGAGGGCATGCCGTAAAAGCCCACGCTACTCTTGCCTATGTACACCATCCTAAAATTCATGCATAATACGAAAATGTGTTGTCATTCACTCCTTCACACACACCTTAACCTCTCTCTTCTCACATTTAACCCTTTTCTCACCACGAAAGGTGTCTCCTTCGTGTGGCTCTGATGTGTCGGCGAAGCTTGTAAGGCGTGGCAAATCTCAGGGCAACCGTTCAAACGGACACTGCACACACAAAAACCAATTCAATAAAACCGTGTCATCCCTACTATAATATACTAAGTACTAGTGATTAGTCAACACTTAGCACCAATCTCCCTCCCGATTCAGTTACTGAGCTCCCAGCACATGATAATGTACACAGACCTATACCCCACACATCACAAAAGGGTATAATGCATGTTCCAGCCACACACCACTCCTATGGGGTCTATGGATAGAAGTATGCGACACTCAGAGGATGAAAGGTGACACCATTGTACATGCAGCGATCAAGTTACGACACTTCAAATAGTGCATTGTTTCCCACATGATTAATACTGTTCTTATGTCTCACATTGTCCCATACATACTTTATGGTATACCATGCCCATCCCAGCTACTATACTAAGCCATGCCCAGTGGCAACTAACAGATGCTGCCAATCTTTGCACGGTATAGGATCTTTGGAAATCACAGCATAACGTGGGACGCCTACACGATTCCACAGATAAAGCATTTATCTTGAGAATACATGGAATCCAAGAACTTCTATTTTGTTTTGGCCCTCTCATCAGCTGTCTACATTCAAATAATGGTGTCCAGAGATGGATGCCACGCTACCCGTACCTGCTGCACATACTGCACCGTAATAGCCCTACGTGGAGTACTATTAGCCTTATCTCTCACTGACATACGTAGTAGCAACACTCCAGCTCCTACACGTACAGTAATAACCTTGCGTGTGAACATACAATGGAAACTATAATAGAGAGGATCGGGCAAACCAAACATCCTCGGGATGGTATATACTGTAGTATATACTGCCCAAAACCACCACTACTATACTCCGACTGGTATGTAGTAATGCAACACTTTCGGGTGATTGAATGAGGTTGGAGTAAGGTGTCCTGATCCTATCACACCAGAGGAAGGGTAACAGAACCATGCAGATTTCACACATGTGGCAGTTAGTTCTCTTCATTAGCATTATAGCTGAGTGTCAATTGTCCCCATAAAAATACCTATAGGCCATCTCTAATCAACTTGTAGATATTCATAGTCATCTAGTCATTGTATGCTGCCCAGCCTTTTGAAGCTTGTGCTGGGTCTGCTGACACCAGATTACTAGAGATTACTGCCTAGATTACTAGAAAATCCCGACATCTGGCATGCGGGAAGGAGGGTGTATGAATGTCAACTGGTCAGGTCTAGTTTTCAGAGTGACAGCCAATGAATGTGGACACAGGAAGGTCACCAAAGGGTGACAGGAGGCTATTCACTAGCACACTCTCTGGTGAACTTTGAACAATTTCCTGATTGGATTCACAGCCCCTACCACACTGCAGTGACTCTGCAGTTTGGACAGAGTGGTTAAGACCACTGGCTAGATTCGATCAGGATGCAGAGAACAATATCAACTTCCCTGCAACACAGCTCTCAACATGAGAGCAATGGAAGCATGGCAACGACAATGGGCGTATTTCCGCTATACGTATGTCATCAACGAGGTAGAAAGTCAAGGCAAAGCAAACAAGTCAACTACACCAGGGACAGCTCTTATTTCCAAAAGAAGAGCTGCTCTCTAGGTGGGATTTGACACAGACTAGGTGAGTGCTCTACCTCTGTATGCTTGCTGCCACTGAGTACTGTCCAGTGATAAGAACTTGCTGCATGTGCAGTGACAGAAGTACTAATTTATCTCTGAGAGCCTGTGGTTTGATGTGTGGTGCCTGTGATGTGTGAGTGGAGGCATGCTAATCTCCAGCCCACATGCAGCTCCAGCAGGGAGTAAAAGCCCACCAGCTAAGCTCAGTTTCCCCTTTCCACCCACGCATGTCTTGCTGGTTCTACAAGACCAGAGGCGCTCCAGAGATTCCACCCATGCATGTCTGTCTGCTCGCTGGTGAGCTTGCTGGTTCTACAAGACCAGAGGCGCTCCCGACCCCATTCACAAACAGGAGATTCCACCCACGCATGTCTGTCTGAGCTCGCTGGTTCTACAAGACCAGAGGCACTCCGGACCCCATTGGCAAACAGGAGATTCCACCCACGCATGTCTGTCTGCTCGCTGGTGAGCTTGCTGGTTCTACAAGACCAGAGGCGCTCCCGGACCCCATTCACAAACAGGAGATTCCACCCACGCATGTCTGTCTGAGCTCGCTGGTTCTACAAGACCAGAGGCACTCCGGACCCCATTGGCAAACAGGAGATTCCACCCACGCATGTCTGTCTGCTCGCTGGTGAGCTTGCTGGTTCTACAAGACCAGAGGCACTCCGGACCCCATTCGCAAACAGGAGATTCCACCCACGCATGTCTGTCTGCTCGCTGGTGAGCTTGCTGGTTCTACAAGACCAGAGGCACTCTGGACCCCATTCGCAAACAGGAGATTCCACCCACGCAAGGCACTGCCACTACGCCTCAGACTGGCTGGCTGTGCGTGTATAACGTAGTAAATATAAATCACCTATGGCAACGAGCATACCATCCGAATTTGTGTACTTCCTCTGTGGTGGTAAACTCTCTTACAAATTAATTACTGTCTGTCAAACTACTCCCCACCTCTTTAAAATTTGTTAACTGCACTTGAGTACAGTGGCATAGCAGCAGGCTACACTAGTAATAAAGATACTCGATGCTATAACCAGGACACCTGGGTCGTAATTAATAAGCACCTCCTTAATGATCACCTTCACAGGATGAACAAGGTGTATAAGGGTGCTTGTGAACGAGTTTGGGATGGTTCGACCACATCGAACCACCTGTGTGCCCAAGATGCATAGATCTGCGAAGAGACGTGCAAACCAGGATTAAAGCTCACCATGCAACATTTCTACGCCTCAAACAATTTTCCATTGCTTGATCGATCCCATTCCTTCACCAATGCCTCCATTAGTTCCACCTGTCCATACCAGTTAAACTGGTTCTTAAACCGGTCTAATCCGTGTTATAAGCTGTCAGAGCACAAGTAGAGGTATCTGTATAGCTCTTTGAAGATGGTTCGCACCTCTATAACTATGGCCACAGAAACCCGGCAGAGCCGCCTGTGTATACTACGCCACACCTGCCCTTCCCACCATCCCACTATGCATAATCCCCCCACTCCTTCCTCTCCTTCCTCTCCTTCCTCTCCCTACTTGTATATACCAACCATGCAGCTGTTACACACGCTTACATCATCAATAATGTTGTAAAGAAGCAGCTATACTACCGCACAAAGCTTAGATAAAGAACTGAAAAATATTCCTATCCTTTTATGACTAATACTTTATGTAAATAGCGGTAAAAAAGAGGGAAAAAGGGATAAAAAGCAGCAGGTGTTTGTGAGTCGTTTGGCTATGTGTGGCATCAATCCATGTTCACAAAGCGCCTGAATAAACACAGTGCAGAATGGAGACATATGGACGGATGTTTTTGAACCGTTGGAGAAAAAACAGCAACTTTCAGAGTATAGCACTGGAGCAAACAAGCCAGATATGCTGTATATCAACCAATGGACTGGTGACACCACAATAATACTTGAGTGTAGCCTGTGCGTGTGTCTCCACTTCTCTAGAAGCATTGTTCAGCGGTGCTATTAGTAAGATGGTGATTTATCAGGCAGTTTTGACTGCCAAGAGATGGTTGATGACTATGTACACTGGTCATCTAATCTGGAGAGTGACTCAGAGGCTGCAGATAAGCAGACAAGACAATGTGATTGGCAAATGAGGGAGGAGAGGGGGAGTGTAGCCAAAAACCCCCACTACTGGCTACTATACATAGTATATTATATAGAGCTGTGAAAAAACATCCTCTCGCTGTGGGCAGCAGTAGCCGACAGCAGTTTATGGTGAAAAAATAGCACAGACTGTTTTTCGTGAGGCCTCTTTGTTGTATATACTTTTCCAGTA